CCCCAAAACCCCAAAACCCCTTAAAGCAAATGTAATAAGTTTCAAAAGAAATAACTATGAACAATTTAATTATAGTTTCGTAAAATATTTTAATGCACTCGAATTTTAGCAATATGAACTGCAAAAGCAACGAGCTGTTCTTGAAAAAGAGAAGATCGTTGAATGATGTAGCCTAGAGTTAAAAAGAGCCAATATGGACTCCTAACTCAGCCTTGACTCCTGATTAAAGTATTGTTTCACACATTATGAGCCAACAATAATGTCTCATACAATCTCCAAAATTAGGTAAATATCAGAAGTTTCTTAACAGCAGTATGACTAAGGGACATCAATAGTCATCTATTACTTAAAATTTCAGAAAGCTTAACATAAACAAGGAGATACTGCATAGTATGGAGCAGAGTTTTCAGATGATTTATCAAAAAGAAAGGTTGAGAGATGCCTAAGGTGGTTCGACTCTTATCTAAAGGAAAAGCCATAATAATGCATCTAATAATGATCAGTATTACTTTAGAGATGACTTCAGAAAAAACCAAATTATTCATGAGGATCAGATGAGCTTGAAAAGTGGAACTCTGAAACTTAAAGATGTATATGTTTAGTAAAAGCTATTCGAAAAACGCTATTAAAAGAGTATCAGCTAGAAGCCCACAACAGTTTCTCTCTACAGTAAAAGATCCATAACTCCTTCAAAGATTGAAATTGTCTGTGAAGAGAATAAAGATAAAAATTAACCAACTGCAAACAATAGCAACAGCCTCAATAAAAATCCAAAGTATAATCAAGAAGATGGGAAAAGTGTAGCCAAGCATAAAATTTTCAGGAATAGACTCTCAGTAACATAGGACTATCTAGAAAGAGAAATAGACCTTAACTTTAGTAAGCTAATTTTTTAAAAAATATACCATGTTAATAATCGATTTTCATAGAGTTATTTGAGTTAAGATAATAGAATCAAACATTCAGAGATCATGATTCAAAAGAACTATTGTGTCTAGTTGAGGGAACACAGGCTTTAATCAATGAACAGTTTGATGATTTGCTAGATTTCAAACCAGAAAATAACATTGTGGAAGATAGTCATTTGTCTATAGATACATTCATGGACTTGTTTATAAATTTAAGCAAGAATTACAGATACCTACTGAGAGTAATTAAAGCATTGACTGACTAGTTAGAAAATAAGGATACATAATTCTAAGCTTTGAAGTGTTTTAGTGTCTTTTGGAAGTCTGTAACTTTAGTCACTGAGTATTTTATGCAAAATAGGAGTTTATCTCTTAGGAAAGCATCTGAAATGGCTGATTAAACTTATAATGAAAGGTTTTCAGATCTTTAATCTAAAAATGATAATCTGCAAATATAAAATGACATGCTTCTTCTTAAATTGAAAAGCTCCACTAAGCAAATGACAGATACCATAGATAAATTAAACAGCGATAAGAAGTAGCTTCAAGAAATTTTACAAGATAGAGAAAATGAGCTAAAATTGATTCAAGATCCAAGACAAATGAGAGAACTAAAAAATTTACTAAATGAGTTAGATCAGAATATGCAAGTAGTGGACAAGGAAAAGCAGATTTAGTATAATGAAATGTAAGCTTGTGTCGGTATCATTCACTAGTATAAGCTTGAATGGGAGGAGAAAAATCGAAGTCAAATGAATAAAAAGATAATACTTAGAAGAATAAAAAAGGGTGTTAATCATTAAGTAATCGATAAAGCAATCGATTAAAAGAGAGAAGCAGAGCATTCAGTAATAAAGTAAAAGAGAAAAATAGAAGAATTTGAGGTAGAGAAGGATTCTATGAGAGATGATGTTATGAAGGAACTTATGTTTGAGATTATGGGTAATGAAATCGATCTCTATATGGAATTCAAGAATCAGAAAGAGGCTATGATCAGAAAAGAAAAAATATTAGGTGAACTAGCAAATATAATAAGGCATGTCTAGGAATTAGATGAAGATGATGAGTAATATAAGATTTCGCAGTTAAAGATCGATAAGTTGCAATTAGAACTTGATAGAATTAATAAAGGCTTCATTGAAGGTTACAAATACATTTAAGGTGAGAAGTGTCATGCATTAGTATAAACAGATATAACGTATGATCCAAATTAGGAATTGCAATCTCCAACTTCAGTAGTAAAGTAGAAAACCATAGCTGTTAAAGAAGTAAAACCGTTATTCATCCTTGATACTAACTAAAAGAATAATCCTATCGTTAAAGCGATTTCTTAATTAATGAATAGTACCTAAACTTCAGCCAAGCAGTAAGGATTTGATCCAAAAAATAAACTAGCTGATCCTATGATAATTAAAATGATGGAATAAACAATGGAGGAAAAGGTTAAGTCAGATTTGGAAAATATATCCTCTGATATTGATCATAAGAAGGCCTAGACTTTTGCATCCTTTTTGTATGATTCAATTCTTATGCAATACGGTCTAAAAACTATTGCAGTAAAGAATGTGATTTAGCTATGTAATGGTTTGAAAGTTCAGTAAAGCTAAGCCTATGCTAATTATCTTGGTCGAATTATAGGCATACTTCCTCCTAGTTTGGATAGAGATTAGATAGATGTGTGTATCAGATCTCTAATTATATTCAAGGACATTTAGAATTAGTGGATCAAGAGAGCTTCAGAAAAATGTATAAATACTTATAAAGTTTTGTAATTTTTCCATAGATTCAATAAAAATAACTGATGAGTAGAGCAATAATTTAGGTCAAGGAGGAGAGTGCGCAGTTTGTGACTTGATGGATGAATTCAAAGTTATTTTTAAGGATGATAAAGAGATGCTCGATAGGTTTTTAACAAATTTAAAGCCTGATTAAATTCAAAAGATGGACGAGACAAATTCAGTGGATTACAAAAAGAAAATTCTGGAGTTTTGTATGGTTAAAATCATATATAAAGTCTCTAAAATTGGAAAAGATATTAAGCACATTTATGATGTCTTGGATTAAGATAAAAGCGGATCATGTAAGAAATCAATGTTATTTAAAACTTTTAGTGGATCAAAAAGAACTAATTGGTGGGCTTAGAGGTTAACTTGCTATATTTATAACAGATGAAGAATCTGAGGAATTAGTAAAGTACCTTGACAGTGACGGTAGTGGAGACATTGACTTTAAAGAATTTTCAAAGAAAGTTAATTTCAAGGATCTCCAATAGAAGCAGCATTATTATACAATCTCTAAAGTTTAATACCTTGACTGTCTTATTAAAGAATGGGAGCTATTTAAACGACGAGAAAATGGCAAAATTAGAGACTTCTTCTATAGATTTGATGAAAATGGCGATGGAGTTCTTGCTTTTGATGAATTCGAAACTTTGATTAAGGCTCTTGACCCAAATATTAAAAAGAAATAAGTAGTCAATCTCTTCAGCGAAACTTTGGATGGTTAAGATTAACTGGATGATACTTTAAATATTGATTCATTTATTCAAACAGTAACCAGTAATAAGATTGGTGGGTTCGGAAAGGTCTTTTTCTAAGACTACATAATTTGGAGTATGAATAATAAGAACAAGAATATCACTCCTAAGAAAATTATTAAGTGAATTCGAAATTGTTATGACAAGATTTAATTTTCCATTTAATCATTTAATTTTACTATAGATGGGGTTTTGGGGTTTTGGGG